GGTACTGTAAATCTTGTTTGCTAATGTTGAGAAGTGTTTGTTATCAGTAGCAATATCTATATAAGTATCAGGTAGTCTTGTTAGTAGGATGCATATTAATGCGTTACAAAGAATTTTGTTTGGTGTAGGCTATGTTTCAACAGTTTGTTAGAATTGAATTGGAGTATTGAGTATACTCTACTTAGCAATCTGTATTGACATATTATATATTTGCTCTTGTTGCAGTGTTAGAGTAGCACTTGTATTTTGTATATTAGTGCTTTCTGTTAATATTTGTCAGATAGAAGATGCTGCCTGTATGTTAGATATTGCATCATAGATAAGGTTATAGCTAAGTTTGAGTTTAGGTCTAATAATCTTAGGATATTTTGTATTGTAGTTTGTTTTTTGTTAGTGTCGGATCATTTAGGAGTTAAATAGATTATTAGAATCTAAGTTAGTATTTGGAACTGATTGTATATTTTAAAACTGGTTTTTATATATAGTCTAAATCTAACACTAGATATAAATCAGTTTTAATATATTCAGATATAAATCGGTTTTAATACAACTAGTTATAATTCGAATTTAATATAACTAGTTATAATTCGGATTTAATATAACTAGTTATAATTCAAATTTAATATAACCGATTATATTTTATATATTAATATACCTATATGCTAATGGAGAAAATTTACAATATTGCTTATAGAAATATTAATCAGTCCTGCAGTAATTATCAGCTGACTTTGAGCAAGATTTGTAAAGAATTAGCATTTTTTAACTAAAATTAGTCTAATAAATAAAGTTATAGAAAAGTTATTTTTCTATAAAAGTCTTTAATAGGAGTTTATCAGTTTTTGATTAGTCCCATCTAAATTGCTCAGAAACTAATGCAAAAACTAATAAAGTTCTATTAGAGACTGTTATAGAGAAATAATTTTTTTATAACTTTAATTATCAGATAAATATTAATTAAAAATGCCAATTTTTGTACAAACTTTGTTCAAATTCAGCTGATAATTACTGTAGAACTGATTAACACCCTAATTAGGCTCTGCAAGTACCTATATGTATACTATTAAAATATAGTAACTATCCTTGCACCTGGTACTATAATTTAATAGGGCATGTGCTGGTAAGCAGAGTTCTAACCCAAATAACTGATCCAAGTTCAGAAGTTCAAAGATTGCAGATACAGATTTTGGAATGCCAAAGAATTGATATTAATTACTTCAAACTCAATTGTTCATTAAATTCTAGCATACATTGATTTGTTAGCCACATATACGAACACAATGTGAAGCCTAATATCTATAGTTCAATATAATTCTATAGAAAATTCTGGTGAAGCCTATGCAGTTGAATTTAAGAATCAGGATTTCTACTTACCCTCTTACCTATGTATTGAAATAGTTTGCTACTAGTTATACAGTATTTAGATCAGTAGAGGCTTTGATAATTATGTATGAGAATTTTTTTAAACTACTGCTATTAAATATATATTAAAAAAAATACATAGAAATTAGTTTTTTAAGTGATTTGAAAAGTTCACAACTGCAATAAAAATTTCTCAATTTGAAACTAGTTTTTCAAATTCAAGCTATAATTATACTATCTTTATTCTGTGATATTAAGTTTGTAGGTATTAGACATTCGATCAGATATGCATAAACGTCGAATTAGACTTTAAATCTGGTATTTAACTATCTAAAAACATGTTTATTGAGAATTAGTGAAAACTTTGTTTCCACTTATTCATATATCAGAGTATTACTGGTATTTTTTAATAATCATTATAATCATTCTAAGCTTGATTCTGCAACACTAAAGTCAACATCTTAATTTTCTATTTCAGTTACCGGTAGTGTGAATGAATATATATCTGTATAGATACTCCTTTAAATTTAACACATGTTCAATTGATCTATTTATTTTAATAATTATATCTGTATAAAAACATGTCTCTTAACAACAATGATTTATTATTTTTACTCTCAGCTAGCTTACTTTAATAGATAAAAAATATGCTTTTTGTTTTATTTAATAAATAAATTTCGATTCTATAGTATAATCAAGCTAGCCTATATATAATTTAATTGCCCCAAATATCTTTAAAAAATTTTGCTAAATATTATCGCTATAAAATATTTTAGCTCAGTATTTATCAAATAAATTAGAGATTGTACCTATCAAGAAAATTTCTACTCAGGTATTATTAAATTACCTACTTGAGTACAATCTCTAAAATAAACTTTAAAAATAAAAAAAAAATTTTTTAAAATTTTGCAAATATTATACATCCGATAAGGGAAATATACTATAATATATACTATTTTTTTTTAAAGACAACATTTGATTTACTAATTTAGAAGATAAATATGTTTACTTAGAAGAGATATGATTACCTGTATCTGAAAATAAACACTCACTTGGCACAGATGTAGCTAGAATAGAAAGATACTTTTGTGCCAATAATAGAAAAATACTTTTTTTATTATTCTACCAAACAAGAAAATTCTTTTTAGGTTTAGCTTCGGAATATCTAAAATATTGTGATACTTCATCATCATCAGATTCAATTATAGTATTATTTGTCCCTTCTAAGTTAAAAACTTCAGCAAAAAAATTATCATAATCTAAATTATCATTTTTACTAAAGGAATTTGTATTAGACGTTTGACTTTGATCTTGCAATTATAAATTATCTTTTAAATTTTGATATAATTCACAAAGTTTAAGTTTTGTATTTGTTTGTTGAATATTTATTGCGAATCGTAAACTTTTCATTCTAGGATCTAATACTGATACAATTAAGACTATTTCATTTGGAATATACTACAACTTATCTAAGAACAAATAGATAGCTACCTGAGCTTTATCAAGAAGATCTGAAGTATCAAATAGTAGTAGATATTCAATTTCATTTATATTATCTGACTCAACTAATTTTTTTTGTGATTGTTGACTTTTACTTTTCTCTTTATCTTTTTCTTTATTTTTTTTATTTTAATTTCAACCTTTACTATATTTTTTATGCATAATTTGTTTAAATTGACAGTGAGCGAATTTCTAATATTGACGTTTACCTGCTGATGATATATTTTCATCTTCACTAACAGAGCTTGAATCATCAGTATCAGATATTTCCTCTATATTAGATTAATTAGATAAATTTTCATTTAACTTGTCATAAATTAAAGTCTAATAAAAATCGAATGTTTCATTTTTTTCAGGCTGTGGTTGAAATTTTTTTTTAAATACTTCTATATACAGATAAACTAAATTAAGTATAGGATATTTTGCTCCATATATACGATGAGTTACTATTTCAAAAGGACTTAATAAATCAATCATATTTTCAATAAAATTTTTTTCATCCACTGTTAAACATAATCTATCAAGTTTTTCTTCCTCTAATTGAGAAGCATGATCTTTTTTTGAAAGTAATATTGTAGAAACTAATTTCATTGCTGTGTATAATTCTAAAACCCGTTTCCAAGCAAGATATGTCAAATTCTATCTAGTTTTAATATCACTTAAAACATTTAATGGATCAAAATTATAATTATCATTTTGATTATCAGATGTAATAGTAATATTATCTTTAATTTGTAATTATGCTTTATAAAGTCTTTGTGCTTGTTTAGGGAGTTTAAAAAAAGCTTGCAAATTTTTTATTCAACGATGTACTGCTTTGCATTGTTTTAATCCTTCTTGAACTGTTAGTTGCAAGGTATGAGCAGTACATGCTATTCCTGTAACTCCAGATAATTGTGATTTAAGTATATCTACTCCTTTAATTATGTTAGTAGCATTATCAGTAGTTACTATATATACTAATGAACTTAAATTCTATTTTTAAATAATTGAAAAAAGCTTTGCACTAATAATTTCTCCTGAATGAGGATATGCTAAATTACTACAAGCTAAAAGAACTTCTTTAAAAGTGTAATCTTCAGAAAGCCAAGTACCTGTAACACTAATATAACTATGTTTACTCTTTACAGTCTAAAGTTCTGTAGTTAAGTGAACACAAGTTACCGTATTTGAAATTAGCTCATTAAGTTGATCAATATTCCAATTATATGCTTGATGAATAAAACCTTTAGCAGTTTTAGTACATAGAATTCAAAATCCTAGTTCACAAGTATTTACAAATTTATAAAAATCTTTATCTTGTAATATATATAATAGTTCAACAAATTTTATAATAAATTTGATAAGAAGTTGTGAAAGATAAGTTTGATATTGGTTTGTGCATAGAGCTGATTTTTTATAAAAATTAGTTATTTTAGTTTGATCAACAGTTAGTTTATCAGATTTATCAAGAAATTGTTTGTAATTATCTCAAGTTATTTTATGTTTATTACGCAAATAAGCATCCAAATTAGAAGTATTATCTCCTTTGTGTATATATGGATAAGGTTTTTGCTAAGAATTTTTTAAATTTTTTTACATATTTTACAATATACAATTTCCTTATTATTTAAATCAGTTCGAAAGAACTTAGTAGTATGGCTTTTATTTTTACGTTATGTAGTTTTAACTAATGAGGTTAAATTAGAGTTTGATTTTCTTTTTTTTCAGTTATAATTAGAATATAATGTAGCATTTGAGGAAGTTTCAGTAGATATTGAAAGAAAATTATATTCATTTAATTCAAAAGTTTCATTTGTATTTAAATAATCTCCTGAAACAGAAAAATACTATGAATTTATATTATTATCATTTATGTCATTTTGGAATTTATCCATATTTAAGAAGAATTACTGTTACTAGTATTTATCACTATTATACTGATTTAAATAAAAATTATATTGTATTTCAAATAAAATGGGTTATAGATTCATTTTGGTAATAAATAAAACCAATTATAATTTAAATTTGATTATAATAAATCTGATTTTAAATAAATCTGATTTTAATAAATCTGATTTTAAATAAATTCAATTTTAATTTAAATATAAATAAAACTGATTATAATTTAAAATCGATTATATTAAAACTGGTTTTAAATAAATCCAGTTATAATTAAAATTCAGTTATAAATAAAACCGATTATAAATAAAATCGATTATAAATATAACTAAATTTATAATTTTAAAAATTTAAAATCGATTATATTAAAACTGATTATAACTGGTTATAAATTTAGTAGATTATAACTGGTTCCTAATACTAATCTAAGTCAAATCAAAGAATTTTGTGAGAATCGACTTGTATTTTGCTAATATACTGTTTGTGCATGTAAAAGGTGTAGTTCTTTTTGTTTTTTGTATTCAAGATACAGCCTAGGCATTGTGTTAATATATTATCAGATTAATTAATAACCCAGTGTTACTATATTGTTATTAATTGACGATATTCTTCCTAGCTTATCAGTATTCATTTTGGCTATTGCCCAGTCTTTTTTATGTATTGTAGTTGCATAGAGGGTATATATGATTAGATTTGTGTGTATGTTGAGTTGGTAAGATATAGATTTTAGATAATGTCTGTTATCGATTTGTACTATTTGAGTTCTCTGCTTTTTGGTATTTTTTGAATATTTTGTGATAAGTAGTTCTAGCTAATAGTTTTAGATTAGTTCTGGTTTAGGCATTATTCGATATAATAAAGACCTAGATTATTTAAGTTACATTTAATCTTATGTAGTATATCTAAATAATTAAGAATTAGGTTAATTGAGTGGAAAGGTTGATTAAGTGGAATTGGCTACATATTCTGTAGATTATTTATGATTTGTATAGAGAATAAGTAAAGATTTTGATTTAAAAGCTGACTTATTAAATTGCGGATGATTAAGATATCTAGTTATAATTGCAATCTGTTGTTGTATTTGGATATCTTGAACTGTACGAAGTGAGTAAATATTGTAGTAGTATATTGTAAAGTTAGATATTGATTTGGCGAGTCTAGCTTTGTGTTTCGTTAATATTATATAATATTGAGTAATCTTATTGTATAAAGATTCAGAGAGAAAAGTATTTTGAATTCGATATGATATTCTTGCTAATATGACTGAGTTGATTATATATATTGCTTGTTTGTCTGTGATTTTAGCTTTATATAGTAACTTAAGTGCATTATTAACTTCTTCGAAGATAATTTTGTGTGATAGTATATGTTTCTTGGTTATTGAGAACTAACAATCTAGGAATCCGAAAGCTTAATTGCAATGTATTCCTTTAATAATCATATGATCAAAGATTATTTGAGGGTTTTTATCTCTTGTTATTGCTGCGAGTACTGATTTTGTTAGATTAACAGTAATATTAGCTAGAGAAAAGAAAGAGGTTGTAGTATCGATAATTTTTTCTAGTATTTCTTTAGATTCAGCTAGCTATATCGTATCATCCATAAATACTAGTGTTGAGAAATTTGTTCTAATAGATGTAGTGTTATTAGTATCATGATTAAGAATGTAAGTTTGAAGTATATATCCTTGATATAGTTTAGTAATTTTGTTTAGTAAAGAATCGTAATAGATTCACCAGAGTAATGGAGTAATAGTTTCTCCTTGATCGATGCTATCATGTATGTTATATAGGTCTATAAAGCCAAGGTTTATGATTATTTTGTTTGTTCTGTCTGTGAATAAGTTTATAATTAGATTTGTTATTTGTTTTAGTATGTAGATTCTTTGTAAGGCCAAACGTAGTAGTAGGAGATGAACAGAGTTATAGGCTTTAGACATGTCTTGTGATAGTATCTATAATTCTTTCTCGTTTACATATGTGTCTTCTATGATATGCATAAGTGTTTGAATTGGGATTGCTATTGAAGTATTAGGAAGTGCTACATGGTTGTGTGAACATAGAGCTAGATATTTAGTTAAAATATTATTTAGACATGTGGTAATTATTTTAGTGAAGATTTTCTTTGTATCTTCGATAAGAGTTATCAGTCTGGTATTGTTGAGTTGTTCTGTAAAGATTAGTTTTTTTGATATTGGAAAGATGTTACTTTGTTTTCACATTTTTGATATTGTTTGTAGCTGTAGCCAAGCATTAGTTATTTTAGCAATAGTTGTAGTGGAGAATCGTTTAAGTATTTTAGCATTTCATTTGAGATATTTTGTAGTCCTGTTGTTTTGTGAAGGAGTACTTGTCATATTGTATCTGTAAGTTCTTCAAAGGTTATAGGGCTAGTTATTGAATTGAGTTGGTTTGATAAGATGTTTGGTATAGGGTCATATTCTCCTTTCCAAAGGTGCTAATTTAGTGTATTCAGAGAATTAAATTTTGTCTAGTCTTCATAGTGGTCTTGGATTTTCTTTTTTATTTCTTTAGGTACTGTGATGATCTCATTAGGTAGTAAGATATTATGAAAGATTACTGGGTCTGTATATTTGTGTAGTATACTATTAATCATCTTAGTAGTATTATTTGTAAAATTATTATATCTATTATTTATGTGTTGATTAATATTGTTTTTATGCATAATATTATTCTTAATTTTTCTAGCTGCGTAGATAGTTTTTTGGAGCTATTTGAGATGTGTTCTAGTATTAATTATATTTGTTGTATTAAGGTCTTCTTGTATTAATAAACTGATTTGATGTTTGGTATTTTTGTTAATATACTCAATATTTTTTTTTTTTTTTCAGCAATCATACTAATACTTTATTTAATCAATAATTTTAATCTATGACTAAAACATTTCTAT